CTGCTACAGCACAAGGTGACCTGGATCTCACTATGTAGCCCAGACTAGCCTTGAATTCACAGCAATACTCCTTCCACTGTCTTCCAAGTGCCAGATTTCTTTTCGAATGAAAACTGTATACATTTACAGGGTACAGTGATATTGTAAATCAAGAATACACAACATAAAGATAAAGTTAGGTTAAACATTTATATCTTTTCAAACATTATTTCATTTTTAAAAGATGTATTTTTCACCTCGCCACCTACTGCAGGTAGGAAAGCTGGTCTGGGGTCATGAGTGCTCGGAAAACTGACCCTGTCCCTCTCTGGCTGCTACACTCAGAACTTGCACCTATCCTGGGCAGCACAACAGAGTTGACCCTATTGATTGGGGCCTAGGTGATCTGGTCCCACAGCTCATCTGCCATATGAAGGAATGGACAAGGGAGAAATACGCTTCCCTATCCTGTCCCTCACCACCTGTGACAGGTGAGAGAACAGGCTCTGAGGTCATGGGAGTGGAAGAGCTGCCTCTGCCCCTTACAGGCTGCAGCACTCAGGAAAGCAGGCCCTGAACCTTGCATCGGCAAACCAGGAGAGCTGGGCCTGGTGGCATTGGGTGTGGGTAATCAGGCCCTGGAAGCATGAAAGCAGGAGAACCGGCCTCAATCCCTACTGTATGGCCTTGTTGGAGGAAGTGTGTCACTGTGAGAGTGGGTTCTGAGGGTTCCTAATGTCAGGATACCACCCATTGTCTCAGTCGACTTCCTGTTACCTGCAAGATATAGGACTCTCAGCTTCATGACCATATCTACCTGCAGGTCATCATGCTTTCCATCATGATGATAATGAACCTCTGAAACTCTAAGACACCAACTAAATGCTTTCCGTGGTCATGGTGTCTCTTCACAGCAATAAAAACCCTAAGACACCTGCTTTTATGAACTGTGGGTATATATGATTTCTCAAAGTGTCTTAGTCTCAATCCCAAAGCCCATTTTGTCTTCCTCATTCCAATACCTTTTTCACTCTGGTAATTTGTTCAAGATAAGGAACTTAAATTTCCTCTCTGACCCTACTTCTTGCATTCTACTATATCACTGCATAATTTTGCGAATCTGTTCTTGATTCTGAATACTTCTGTCCCCTGACTATTTTCTTCTTCTTACCTTTTTAATCTTTTGCATTCTTACTCACAAACCATGGAATTATTATAAAATGTCTTCCTAGCATCCTTGACTTTCCTACCTATTTGCTCCTTCTGTTAACTCTAGGAAAGCAATTACCTGCTTTGTTTCTACACACACCCTGTCAAAGTGGTATTGAGTTTGGTTTGACTTTTGACTTTGTATCATGGGGTCTATTTTACTCACTTGTCTATTTTACTCACTGCCTTATCCCCAAACATTTGTCATTACACAGTACATTAGAAGCACTCAAATTTATAAAATCAATGTATTATTATTATGTACTGCCTGTCAACTTCAAATCAAATTTCCTAATATGACTATTCCTTTCTGGTTTTTCCACCACAGCTGATATCTGCTTCTTATCAATAGAATAAATCTCACTGAGAAATTCCCAAGTGAATTCAATCAATTACCCTGTATTTCCATTCCTCGTATCCATTTTCCCTAATTTTTCCTTTTAGTAAAATTATTTTATAATTATCATTCTTTTTATCTCACAAAATGTCACCTACAAAGAAATCATTTAGCAGTAAACTCTTACATTTGACTTTTCCTAACTTTCCTATTCTATTTTGTTATATTCTTCCAGCATAAAAACAAAACACTGAGAACTGACTGCAACTGAGACATAAGTTAACTACCAGTCTGTAGTTCTGCATATCAGTCTCATTTCTGTTCCTCATAAGGGAGTTTGAATATTTGTTTGCTTTCACAGAAAGCAAGAACAAATTAAACAATTTTTAAAATAGGCTATTTTAGCAGGACATGGTAGTTCACATCTATAATCCTAATTCTTGGGAGGTGGAAGCAAGTAAATCAACAGTTCAAGGACATGCTCAACGACACCAGCCAAGGGTACAGAGATGCTGTTTCAAGCACAAAAGAAAACAGGGGCTAGAGAGATGGCTCAGAGGTTAAGGGTACTTGTTGCTCATTAGAGGGCCCATGTTTGAGTCTCAGTGCCCACACTGTCCTCACAATCATCTGTAACTTCAGTCCCAGGGAATCTGACACCCTGACTTCTGCTGGCACCAGGCACACAGATAGTACAAAGACATACATTAAGACCAAACACTCATACATAAAATTGTAAAATAAATGAATATTTAAAAAAATTTCTTGAATTTTTTACATATGTTTGTGGGGGTTTTGGGTTTTGTTTTTGTTTTTTTGAGAAAGGGTCTGACTATGTAGGACAGAATGGACTTCAACTTCTGACTGTCCTGTCTCACGTACCCAATTCCTGGGATTAGAGGTATATAGCACTCACCCAGTTTTTATTAAAAATACATGGGAGAAACAAACTCAGGTTCTTTCTGCAGATATATACTATAAATATATTTTTAAAAAGACCAATTACTTCTAAAACACTTTAAACAAAATTCCTTCTAGTTTTCATCCTTTAGTTATTATATTTCCTTTCTATACAGCATTCCACATATCCCAGGCTGGCCTCAAATTTGGCTATGTAGCTTTCAGTATGGCCTTGAACTTCCAGTCTCTACTTCCCTAATGTTGGGATTACAAACATTCACCACCATCCCTGTTTATTTGGTGTTGGAGAACAAACAAAGGGCAATTATAGTGTATGATAGGCAAGTACTCTATCAATTAAGCTAATCCTCAGTCCTAGCCATTTATCCTCTATACACCTTTACAATTTCTTTTCTTCCTTTTTTTTTTTGGTTTTTTTTTTTTTTTTTTTTGGTTTTTCAAGATAGAGCTTCTCTGTAGCTTTGGAATTAGCTCTTGTAGACCAGGCTGGCCTCGAACTCACAGAAATCCACCTGCCTCTGCCTCCTGAGTGATGGGATTAAAGGCATGCGCCACCACCACTTGGTTCAATTTCTTTTTACTTTCACTGAATTTATATTCCCCCGGCACTAACTTATATAGCAAGACACTATGCCCAGAACTAATGTTCAAAGTAATTTTAGATAACTAAACCAATCAATGCCTGTCAATTGTGGGCATAACAAATTTTTAAAAAGCAGAAGAGATTATGAAAAAAAGATAAAGCCAACAAAGAAATTCAAAAGGCCATAACTTGAGAAGAAATGGACTTGAGAAGAGGGTCTACCCAAATACTTGTCAGACGACAAATACAAACTCAAATGATCTTGGAAAAATCCTGTCCAAACAAAGGAATTTCAGAAAATACTGTATAATATTTTTTAAATTTAGCTACTAGGAATTGCACGACTGTGTTCTAACGAAGAGGGAATACTCCACAAGGGCATGTCAAAGAGAAGAGGGCGAGCAGAGACCTTCAATCCTGCACCAGTTTCTAGACCACAAGCCTCAGCATTAAGTGTTCCCAACTTTAATATAAAGGAAACATACCAGCGCGTCAAGTAAACTGTTCTGAAACAAAATTTTCAGAAATACCTTTCTGTTCCATAGTTCAAAGCAGTTAGGGTTAGGAACTGCTTATTAGAAAAAAAAATCACCAGTAAATTCTTACACTTTTAAATACAGAAAACAAACACTACATTTATGGCCTAATGTTTCAGATAACCAAGTGTAATCTTTAAACACTCTTAAACTCAAATTTACCTTCACATAGACATTTAGGTACCCCAACTCTCTTAAAATCCTTCCAAATAAGGTGTAACATCCACTTTGGAATATAATGAAAAAAGTCTCATTATCATTTAAAGACCCACGAAGACGTTTACTCTCCTAAGTCATTAACTCCCCGTTACTCAAACCGTTCAACTATTATCTTTTTAGAAAGCCTCACTCATAAGAATATTCTTTTCATGACATTTACGAGGTGTACCTTCAACTTCAAAATCAGAATTGGCGTCGGCAGCAAGGGGCCCAGACCGGGAAGGTGATGGGGAAAGGCAGAAGCAGGTGCACCCCGCGACTCTAGTAACCAGAGAACACAGAAGGCGGGGTCTGGAAAACGGTTTATGGGGCGGGGGTGGTAGGGGCACCCAGAAAGCCCGCTTCTTCTAGCGCCAAAACAAGAGCTGTTACCTAGTTCACACAACACTTAGCTAATAACAGTCATGGAGGGGGGAGTTGCTTTGTTTCGATTGGTTTTTTTTGGGGGGGGGGGACGACAAGGCGAGCTGCGCAGGAGCGGGCCGCAGACGAAAAGTTCCTTCAGGCATGCGCCCAATACCTAATATCTAGTCCAGAACTGCAGTTTCTGCAGAGCAAACAACGCTATCTGGATCCCACCGGGCCTCTCGGTGTCCCCGATTCTAGATCCGAAGACACCGGATCTGCAGGAAGGGATGGAGAAGGGGCGGTGGGAGGGGCGCGGAGAAGGGTTATTAAATTAACCTTCTCTGCGCGAGGAGCCACTAGCTGGAGGCAGGAACGCCTACCCGGGCCTTTATGCTCCAAGAACACAAGTGACAGCAGAAAGTGCGCGGATCCGGGTCGCAAACGCTCCCCACTCAGGATTCGGGCCGCGGGGGGGACTCGCACGATGGAATCTGGCGGGTGGGGTGGGAGGGAGGGAGGGCGGCCACCAGGCCTCAGGCCGCCAAGGCCTGCTTCTCTGAAAACCCATCACCCCAACTGCAGCCCGGCTTCCCCTCCACCCTGGAGCACCCGGGCACCGCGTGAGGGGGTCCCCAGGTCAGGCCGAGGTGACAAGACTGTACAGGCGCTAGCGCGTCCCCAAGGCGCTCACCAGACATGGTGTCAACTCAGGGGCTGAGAGGCGCCTATGTCAGCCGAGGGGGGCGAGGATCGCGCAGCCAGGGGACCCCAGAGCCGAAACGGGCAGGCGTGGCCCCAGAAGCCCGGTCCGGCGCCTCCCGGCTCTCGGGCCCGCGGTTGCCAAGGGCCGCAGACGCGCAGGCATTACCTGTAAACGAAGGCGCCCCTCCTGCCGAGGGCGGAGTGGCAGTCGGCCCCCACTGGAGCCGCCGCTGAGCAGCGGTTCTTCCTCGAAGACCGCGGCCGGGAGGCCCACAAGTTCCCTGACTGTCCAGAGCCCAATGGCCGCCTTCTCTACATTAGCTACTAGGCGCCAACCGCCGCAGCCACCGCCATCTTAGGACCTCATTGTGGTGGGAGAAGAGGGGCGGGGGAACTGCAGAGGGGGGCAACGCTCGGCGAGACGTGCGCCGTCTCCTCGGCAACGGCCGCGCGGGGGCGAGAACTCGCCCGGGCTGGAGCCGCAGTGCGAACCCGGGGCGCGCAGGACTGGGGTCACGTGACGCCCAGGAGCCTGTGGCGTCACTTGGGGCCTCTAGTCAGGAACGGATTGAACCCGAAAGAACGACCTGAAACTACATATCCCAGAATGCCAACTCATCCGGGTAGCCGAATTTACAGAACTACAAATCCCAGCATGCTGTGCGCTTTCTAGATGGGTTCGCCGTATTAAGGCTCGAGGCCTGTGCCCGACTATACTGAGGGCTTCCATGAAATTCATGGACCACCTGGGAGACCGCTTTCTGATTTGCCGTGGAGGCTTCAGCTCCGGATGGAGACTGAAGGACTAGGAAAGTCTTAGATCTCTCTTTTAACCCATTCCTACCCACAATCCTGCCTCGAAAGAAACTTTCGGGCCTTTACAATCTAGCCACTAATTTTAACAAGGAGATTAAACCCACAGGGATTAAAGTTTGCTGCGCTCTTGTCATAGCTGATTAGTCGGTGGAAGAATCATAAACATTTGCAAAGATCATCGCCTCTTGGAACGCTGCCCCGCATCCTCGTTGATAGAAACAGATGGTTTTTAAAGCAGAATTTAATCTCGCGGCGTTTTCTCTGAACCCGTAGTCTTCGAATTCCTTTTTAATTCACATTCTTAACAGTTGTGTTAAGGTTAGTAAATGAACAGATAATAGTTTCAAAACAGCACAAAAATTCAATAAGCTTGCAAGTCTTTCAATATGCTAGGCTCCAAAGTTAGAATACCTGTCAATTTTAGTTCCATGTAAGGACGTGAACAGTTTGTAATTATGGGACGAGGTTTTTAAATTTAAGATATGTAAGTAGAAAAGAATAGGCTTCTGGGTTTCCACAATAAATTTTTTCCCTCAATTACCAACAAATTGTTTACAAAACAAAAAGTAGTACAGCTGTCTCAGAGCATGGTTCATAACAATAAAACTCTTCCAGATCCTTCTGCCTCTGGAATGCGGGGTATGCATTGCTGGAAATCAAACCCAAGGTTTCAAGCATGCTGGGCAAATTTTCTATCAACTGAAAATTGATGCCTGTCTAGGCTGGTAGTGGATATCGAACTCAGGGCTTTTCAACATGCTTAACAAGCACTCTACAACTGGCCTCTATCTTTAGACCTCTGTTTTACTTCTCTTTTGGATCTGCGTCTCACAAAGTTGCCTACACTGGACTTAAACTTACACTTAAGACTCTGTGGGCTTTTTTTTTTTTTTGGAGCGTGAGTCTTGGAGGACCTAGGGACCTAGGGGAAGGAGTGGAGATATGTGTGTGTGTGAAGGTGAGCAAAATAAATTGCATGATACTTGCGAAAAAATTAATAAAAATACTGTATATTTTAAAAACCTTTCTTCAAACTAAAATACCAGCATCATCAGTTTTTGTACGGAAAGAGGAAAAGAAGGTGAGAAGTTGTAAAATTACTCCGACTTCCAAAAATTTGGCTTGTATACATAAAGTCATACCTTAATTTGGAAATGAATCGGTTTGATATTAATATCTGATTATGCCAAATAAATGATATAGGCAGAAAATGCTTTAGTAATTGGGGGGGTAAGTTTATATTATCTCAAAAATAAGAGTGTCTCTAGGATTTCTATGTAGGATGAAATAAGGGGAAGCCATCCGTAAAAACGTGGGTAGGGAACTAAGGACGGGTGCGGGGAGGACTTGAAAAGTGAATTTCTATTTTCTGAATTTAGGAGGAAAACTGAACATGTTTGTTGAAATATTGAGGAGTATAAATGGCTGGTGTGGAAGGAAATGGATTATGCCATGAATTCACAGCACATTCAGAAAAAGCAATGGCCAACACAGAAACCAGACTGGCAAAAGTACAGATTCATGTGGGGTGAGGCTCGGGGGAGGCTGGAGAAGCTGTGACTGGGTCCAAAGGGTAGAAAGCTTTCCCTACTGATCTGAAGAAGTTGGACTTCGTTCCACAGGCCATGTGAAGCCATTTGAGACTTTGGAAGAGGTTCCGTTTGGTTGCTTTGCAGTTCTGGAGAGAGAACCACGGGCTTTGCACATCGTGAGCAAATGATGTTCTACTGCTACATTGCCAGCTCTTGTTTTTCTCTTTCTCTTCTCCTTATTTTTTCTTTTGGCAGGCTGCCCTGAACTTATAATTGTCCTGATCCCACACTTTGAGTGGTATTGTCTCTCAGATTGAACACGAAATCGTTGAGACTTTAACTTGGAGACACGTTTAGTACAAACTAGGAAGAGAAGAAAAGGGAGCAGAGACAAGAGAGGGTGGCGTGTGGTTTGATATTAAGGAGTAACTGAATGAATTCAATTACAATTACAATTCAGTACTGGGGTTTTCATTAGCAAACTTAGTGTCACGAAGGGGAAAATACTACTTGTTCTGTTTCTTGATACCTAATGGGACACTGGTCCAGTGGTACTTACAATATAACATGTTGTGTTTATATTGTTTGTATTTTAAACTATAATTTGCTTGTTTACTAACAACAGATTATGTCTGTAACTGAAATCTTACCCTTTGTATTCTCTACATAGTCTCAGTTCCTTGCATATTTCATTTGTTTTGGTGTTCTTCAATTTATTTTTATTTTTTTATTAAAAAAAAAACCCACAATTTTCTGCAATAGCTAGTTTAACCTGCAGGTGGTGATAGTACATAAAAGAAAAATCTTCAGTGTCCATAAGCCCTTTATAACTTACTTTCATTGTTTTTATTATGTAATTATTTTTGGTATAATGCAAAGGATGTGTAAGATATTTGTGCTAAGCTAAAATAATAAAATCCTGCAATGATTCATTAAATAACTTAAAATAATCGATTTACCATTGTAAGAACTCTCCATTCTAGACCCATATTGGAACACCGAACTGAGCACTCCACGGTCCAAATGAGGAACAGAAGGATGAAGAAAATAAAAAAAGTAATCAGGACTGCGAGGAATGCGAGCACCCACTGATACAAGGGGACTGATATAATGATAGTTCACCAAGACCTGTTGGACTGGGACTGAACGAGGACGTGATCCAACCAGATTCTCTAAATGTGGCTGGCCTGGAGCCTTTTTGAAAAGCCATTGACAATGACACTGGGACTTGCTTCCTCTGCATATACTGGATTTTGGCGCTCCAGTCTGTTTGGACTCTCACCTTCCGTGGACCTGGAGGGAGGGAGGAGGAACTTGAACTTCCCATAGGGCAGGAAACCCTGACTGCTTTAGGGGATGGAGAGGGAGGAGGAGAGGGAGTGGGGGGAGTGGGAGGGTGTTGGGAGGAGGGGCTGAAATGGAAACTTTTATAATTTAATAAAAAAAAATTATAAAAAAAAGAACTCTCCATTCTCTCCTACAAAATCCTTTTTACAAACATAGACACTATCCTGAACTGATTTTATCATTATTTCACTTTCCACATAAAATTATGTATTTTCATGAATAAATATTGCTTTATTTTTCAATTTTTAAATTTGATATAAATGGTATCACACTGTCCATATTCATATTTGACTGACTTTGTCCATTCAACATTATCTCACTGAAATGTATCTGTGTTGCTCTGTGTAAATACAAACCCTAAATAGAATATGAAAGTGATTTTGACATATACCTAAAAACTACAACTCATTTTAAACTAGCTTAGTGAATGACTTGATGAAAGAAGATATTGGTCATGCCACGCAAAATTCTGATGACCTCTGGCCTAATTCCCGTGCTTCTGTTCAGTTTATAGACTGTTACTTCTCTGACTTAATCTAGTTCCAAGTTTCTTAATTATGGCACTATTGACATGTTGGACTTAATGATTCTTGAGGTTGACTTTTGATTTTGCGTGTATGTGTGTTCATTTGTTTGGAATGTGTGTATGCATGCAGGTCAGAGGGCAACTTTTGGGAGCTCTGTCCTTCCACCACGTGGTTTCTAAGGATGACACTCAGGTTGTCAGGCCTAAAGACAGGGCTATTACAGACTGAGCCGTCTAGCTGGCTGATGGGTTGTGTTCTTTGTTCATTTGTTGTTTTGTTTTAGGGATGGGGGTTGACTATTCTGCATACTACACAATATTTAGCAGCACTGCTTGGCCTCCACGCACAAGGTGCATAGAACAGCTACCTTCCCGGTGATGGAAACTAAAAGATTACTGACTTTAATTACCACGTATCTCCTAGAGCAGAAAAAGAGGGAAGAAAATCACACCTTGCTGAAAAATACAGGTCTAGTCTAATTACAATTTTCTTATGTATCTCTTATGGTTAAAAAAAACCCTCTATTTACATATATAATTAAATCAATTATATGATTATATCAGCTAATTAGATCTGATCCTTGTGTATAATTAATGTTTCAAGACTTCTGATACCCTTCTCTGTTTCCCTTCTATCATGTTACTCTGGCATCTCTCCTTACTGCCCAGTTCCGATTCTTCATCACCAAACTCACAAATATCTTACTGCTGTTCTCAAAATGGAATATTAATGTTTATTCCAGTTTGGGTTACTGACTTATTTGTACCCAGTTTGTGTTCATTTCTCTCAAAAACCACTCCTTCAATAAATGTAATTCTTATGGTTCTAATTCCAGCCATGTTAGCATTTTGTCCACCTTTCCCTAGCTAATTTCTGCAGAGTTGAGACTACCATACATTTCTTATATTTTCCTTGTATGTCTTTTTGGGGTGAGGAGTTATATGCCTTCACTCATCCTGTTTATCCATTGCAACCCTGGGCAGGTTTGAACTATGTGGAATGCGCACTTCTTAGGATCAGATTAAAGAGACACAAGCGACAGTAAGCAAAAGACTACAATGAAGATAAATTATTTCCTGGTCTCTTACCATCCCTACAACACGAAAATATGTTACAAATAAATGTAGAGCCGGGCGGTAGTGGCGCACCTTTAATCCCAGCACCTGGGAGGCAGAGGCTGGTGGATCTCTGTGAGTTCGAGGTGAACCTGCTCTAGAAAAGTGAGTTCCAGGACAGGCTCCAAAACTACAGAGAAACCCTGCCTCGAAAAAATTAACTAACTAACCAAATAAAGTAGATGTTTTAAACAAAATTTAAGTAAAAATAAAATTTTAAATAAAAATTAATTTAATTAAATCAGGTGATGATGAAAAGTGTTAAGGGTAGGAAAGTGACCCCTTTGTTGTCACTGTTAAAATCCTGTTGTTAAAAGCAAAACTCCATAAAATAAGGACTCAAGTTTGCCATAGTTGTAAGAGAGTAGTTTGATTTTCAAAATATTAAATCTAGTCTAGAAAAGTATCTTTTTCTAAATAAATAACTAAGATCTTTAGGTTTGTTATATGCTTTCAAATAAGTGCCAGCTTTTGGATGAATATACAACAAGATTTGTTACAGAATATTTGTTTACACTGTGAAGATGTGCCTTTGCCAAGATGCTTTCTGATTGGCTTAATAAAGAGATGTATGGCCAATAGCTAAGCAGGAAGAGGTTAGGTGGAACTTCCAGAGACAGAGAGGGCTCTGAGAAGAAGAAAGGCAGAGCCATTAGTCAGACACAGAGAGGAGACAGGAGGTACAAGATGGAATATAGATTTAAAAAATATGGGTTAATTTAAATTATAAGAGCTAGTTGAGACAAGCCTAAGCTAAAGGTCAAACTACCATAATTAATAATAAGTCTCCAGGTCACTATTTGCAGACTGGTTCTCCCAACTAGAAAGTATTGCTTACTACAATGATGATTCTACACTGAGCCATATGAGAGACACTCCATTATTTAGGAATAGCTGTGAATCCTATTGTTTCCCTGTTCTTCCTTTGAGATTCTCATACAGTGCATCTCTTTTGCCATGATGAAGATTCTAAACTCAGGGGAAATGACAACACACACATAAACTCAGATTAACCAGATAAATATTAGAATGTCCTTTCTTTGCCAGAAGAGAACAAAATATTTCCAGGGTTAGCAGCCAAGGATGTTTTGTGATAGAATGAACTACCCAAGATGCTACACTTGCTCTAAGGAAGCAACAAGCGGAACTCTAACCATAAGGGAGCCAGAATGGTGTAAGGCAGCAGCCGACAAGCTTCCTAGAATGGCCAGGCATTACATATTTCTGCCATTGTGAGCCGTACCAATTCTATGATTATGAAATGAAACCATCTACAGACGATATGTAGATGGCTGTACATAGCTACGTTCCCATAAAACTTTATGGACAACGAAATCTAGATTTTTATGATACTTTTACAAGTCTCCAATTATTAATCTTCTTTTGAATTTTCTAACCATGTAAAAATATAAAACAGGTTATTAGGGCCCATTTCAGTCTTATGGGTGACAGTTTGCTGTCCTCTGACTTAGAAAAATGAATACTTTCAGTTCTGAGATAATTAATTAAAACTAGGTTAAATTATAAATTATGAATGAAAAATGAAATGTCATTAGTTGGCAGGTTACCTTATGAAGAGTCTTTTGAAATAAAGAAAAAGGATGTAAGTCAGGTGTAATGACATAGGCCTTTAATTCCCGCAGTCAGAAGACAGAGGCATAACCCTGTGAGTTTGAGGCCAACCTGGCCTACACAGTTCCAGGACATCCAGAGGTACATAATGAGACCCTGTCTCAAAAAACAAAACAGAGAGAGAGAGAGAGAGAGAGAGAGAGAGAGAGAGAGAGAGAGAGAGAGAGGATAAAATCAAAATATTGTACAATGTAAGTATTCACCTGTATCATATACGTCCTTAAATATTTTGTTGGTCCCTCCTCAAACTAGGTGGAACAATGCGTTCCCTCTATGAAGAATCGCCACACCCAGAAATAGCAGAAATGAAAGATAAAGGTTCAGACATTGAGGAAACAAAAAGATCAACACCAGAGTAGTTCCTCCGTCTCACCGTTTGCGGGAGTTAAAGTGAAGACTTCTTCGCTGTGCGATGAAGAATTTGCTCCTTGCCCCGGCACCTTTGTGAAAGAGGACAAGGGAAGCTCCGGGGGCAATGGGCGGGGATTGATGCCTGCAGCAGGACCCGGCAGAGCTAAAGCACCAACTTCACCCGGCTCGGAGCCCTGGAAATCCTAGGCAGTTCCTACGCCAAGGGGAAACGCTTAAATTGTCCGAACTGCATGAGATTAAACTTATCCAAAACTGTACATGGAAACATGTAAGCTGACGACTTGGGAACTATACATGCCTTATACATGCCTTACTAACGCTGCTCAAATGTTCGCCACTTGTACGTTCCCGAAGCTTCCAAATCTCACTCGAGGACACCTCCTCTATGGAGTTCAAGTTTTTCTGTTATTTCCTGGCTTGTGCTGAATACTTGTGATTTGTCTCAAATGTAACTTCCTTGTTGCTCTTTTGTCTGTCCTTCGTCATTTTCAAATTCCAACAGCCTCCTTCCCCGCCCCCCCCCATTATTTTCTCAGAATACCGTGGGCACTAGACATCTCTGTAGAGTCGATTTCACAGAAAGCTTCGCACTCACAGGGGAAAGGAAAGGAAGGGAAGAGAATGCAAGGGGAAACATAAGCTTCAGTAAGCATCTCCGAACTGAATATGAATATTCACCATCCTGATCTTTAAAGTCCTCTGGCCATGACCCAGAGCTGTTCAGCCGCAGCAGTCTTGCCCGGTCATCTTCATGGGGTCTTTCTTTATACTCGATTTCCTTGGTCCCTGTTAATAGCCCCCCCCCCCCGGTGTTCTTTCTGGAATACCGACAAGGATTTCAAACGTTTAAGTTCTTCCGCATTAACAGAACACTTTTGTTCTTCTAACTCCATTTGCAGCATTCGCCAGCGAGCGCCGCGGTGAGAACGAGTGTGGCTCTTCTATCGTCACACCAATTAGTGTGATACCCCCCCCCCCGCGTAGAATTCTAAGAAATTAATGTCTTCTCTGAACACTGAAATTAACTGCACAAAGCCCTAACAGATCCTGATTAGTAGATACTTCGAGAAGAAACATTTCCATCATTCTGACATGGTGTTCCTGAGTCTCAGGACTGAAGCAGCAGGGTGCTGCCAACTTGGTTGTTAGGCGCCAGTGTTCAGTTCAAGACATAGCAAGAAAGGAATTAGTATGTCCACTTCTCTAAATAGGTCCCCTTTTTGTTTGTGTCTGCATCACCCACATCTGGTCATTGATAGGGGAGTTCAGCCAATCACATTCTGTCCGTGTTACCCTAAGGCAAAAATTTACCTATAAACCTGGTGGGTGCACTTCCTTGCCCTCTCTTGGTCCCTGCGCTCTCGGATCGTTGGGACTCTGGTGTAAGTTTTCTTTTATTCTGTTTATTAAAGATATATCTTTTATATTAAGCTAGTCTGGTTAAAGTTTAATTACCGATCAACCACGCCCCTTCAGGTCATTAAAAAGAATGCTGTGGTTAGTGACATAGTTCAGTCGGTTGAGTGCTTACCTAGCCTGACAAAGCCTGAAGTTTGATCTCTAGCACTACAAAAACTATGTAGCATGTGCTCAGAAACCAAAAGCCCTTAGAGGCAGAGACAGAAAAATCGAGATTCTAGGTAATTCTAGGCTACACGGTGTAGTTTGAGGCCAGCCTAGCTTACAAGAGACCCTGTCTCAAAAAATAAAAATCTCAGTGTTCAAAGGCAATAACTACCCTCTGCAGTAAACACTTCTGGTCTGACAGAACCTTCTGGGGAGGATGGTTGGGTTCTAGGGAGTACAAATGGTGGAGAATGTATGTGTGTGTGTGTGTGTGTGTGTGTGAGAGAGAGAGAGAGAGAGAGAGAGAAAGAGAGAGAGGTGTAGGGAAGTTCAGGGGAGAGAGACTGTTATTGGGAAATTATGGAAGATTAGGAAGGTGTGGAAGAAACCAGTTTCCTTGTAATGTTCTGATCCACGTTAAACCTCGGCTGCCACTGACTCTGTCTCTGCTCTCTTTATTCTACTTTGCCTCCAGCACAGTCCAAAAAGCTGCTCGCCAGAGCTGATACCACACCTTTTGGGCTATTAGCCTCAAAACCTGTTAGGGTCAACTGCTTTTCTGTGTTACCCGACCTGAAGTTGTTGTTATAGAATGCAAAAGTACAGAAGAGGTTTGGTTTTTATTTTTTTAAGCCTAAAGAAAAATAAGATTTTTGTTTTTATACATGATTATTGATGAAATTTGGACAGCTATTTTTATTCGTATTATTTATATTTTATGAGACTCGAATATATACATTGTAGCAATAACAAAAGAGGACTTAATATTTGATTCAGTACTGAGGACAGGCACGGGAGACGACTTCTTTCTATTTTCCTTGAAATTTCTGAATGCATCAAAGGAGACACATATCGAAGAGACATTCTTGCATACAGCGATTCCCCCATCAGTCAAGATCATCAAAAAATCAGGGGGATAACTCTGATACCTGGGTTTACACTCCCATACAGGTCACCAGACTAATTGGATGGACTTTTCTCTCCTGGAGATTTGAAGTTTACGTGGACAACTACAGAGGCTAGATTTCCACTGGAATTCAAGCATTTTTAAAGGGTAGCACACTACAGCTAAAGTCCAAGATTTTTTTTATTTTTTGGAGCCATCATTAAGTGCTAAATTTTGCTTGTGTGTGTCAGGCTTTAATTGGATCTGTTATTTGTCTAGGATCCCTCTAATGAATCTAATCTATTTTTGCTTCAGACGACAAGATGATGCCTGTTAGCTTATAGCAAGAACAAAACATCTCTGGAACTAGGCCTCAGTATTTCAGACTATTTCATTGCTGATGGCAGGCACAAATTATATTCTAGAATTATGAGTGTTAAAGAATTTCTCTTTAATGCTTCTACAGAGAATGTAGGAAAGAAAAAATAAACAAACAGACAACAACAACAACAACAACAACAAAAGACAGCTCAAAACACTTCCATTTTAGAGGAGGCTCTCACTTTGTGTGCACTCTTGGTCCTTCACACGTGCAGCAGGTAACCCTTCTGTGCTTCTGCCTCTCTTTGTCTCCCTCTCTTTCTCTCTTACACACACACACACACACACACACACACACACACACACACATGTAGACATATTTTTAAAAACAGAGATGGCCATAAGACAGTGGTTTTCAGCTGAGGGCTGTTTAACCTCAGGGGCCCATTTTGCAGCATCTGGGTTCATTTTGGGTTGTCACAATAGGGGAGAAGGGGCAGAGATGTTTACAGCAGCCAGGGGGTGGGAGCAAGGAACACTATTAAACATCCTACCACATACAAGACAATCACCACGGAAGAAGCAATGGCACAGAATGATTTAACCCAAAATATCAATAATACCAAGGTTAAGAATCCTTAATGGACAATTAAATGTAGACACAAAGCAGGTTCAGACCAGTTTTAGCTTGTTTACCTTTTGTGCTTTTGGCACATTTCCTGACATATAGTGAGTGTGAAAGTACTTGATAAACCTTTATATTATTATATTTATATTATATAAATTATATTTTTAATTTTATAAGACACATTTTAAAATGTGGTTTTACTTACCATGTGCTCTTGTTTTCTTATTCCACAAATTTTTTTCACAGTAAAGCTGAATTCTTTTTCATGTGCTAAGTGTAAGAAAATAAAATCTGTTATTGATTACAATTCAACCTTTATTTGGTAGAAAAATATGACATATGATCTTATGAGGAGAAAAATGGTGCTGTTCAGAAGCATAAAATATACATAACTCCAAAGTCCTTTGTACAGAAAAAGAAAACCAATTTTTTTCCTCGGTTGAAGCTTGTTTTAGCTTTTGTAAGAAGAAAAAAATGGAATAAGAAAAGACTTTTAATTTTTTCTGGCTCGATAACTCATTTACTGTTGGTTATATAACCAGAGGTAAAATAAAAGATTCAAATAAATGAGAATCTGGAGTACCAAGAAATCATTTCATTGTAACTTAACTGGGACCCTTGGAGAAGACATCGGCTTTATGGAATACAAGGTTCAACACTTCTAGGAAATCTGACAAATATTTATTATGTTTTTACATTTTTCCTTTACAAGCTTACAGAGAGCATCAGGCAGATTTTTTTCTTCTCTTTTTTTCTTTTCTTTTTCTTCTTTTTTTCTTTTCTTTTTTGAGATCAGACCTCTGACAGTCCTGAATCTTAGATGATTGCCCAGCAGGCATCAGGGATCCCCCTGCTCCTGCCCTTCCAGTGCTAGGATGACAGCAGCATGTCACCATGCCCGGATTTTTTTTTTTTAAATGTGCTATGTCCATCTTCGTTTTGTTTAGTTTTGTTTGTTTAATACTTGGGATCTGGGGAGCATGCTCTGGTGCTTCCTGCTTGTCAGACAAGCACTTTGGGGACTAAACCACCTCTCCAGTCCTGGTCTCACTCTTACCATGCATGCTTTCATTTACCTTTTCTGATCATATCTTATTCTTTCCAGTGTTCCTTAAGCCTTAAATGAAAATACTTTCCGAATCAAATTCTCTTAGTTGTAAAATGAGGCAAAGACATAAAGAGGGAAGAAACGTCAGCTGAGTTAGGAAGGAGTCTTGTCTGTCTGTCTATCTATCTATCTATCTATCTATCTATCTATCTATCTATCTATCT